AATATTGGTGTTGGTGGTAATAATAGTAATTCACAACAAATTCATAAATCACATCCATTAGCATATCATACAAGTAGAATATTAAATGATGAATTTGCTAAATTGAATTTAAGTAATGATAGCTTAAATTATGAAATATAATAATAATAATAATAATAATAATTATAATTATAATAATAAGTATTTGATTAGGTTAAAGTTGAATTAATTATTTTTCACCGTCTATTAATTTTTTTTTTTTTATTATTTCTATGAAAATAAATTTGAATTACACGTTTTATAATTTCATAATTAATATTAAGAATTTTTGGCAGTGCCAACCTTTTTGAGAGGAGAAATAAATAATCATCATTGATTATTACTGTCTCATTTAATGTTGTTTAACTTAGTATTAAGTAAAAATCTTGACGCAAGTAAAACCTTTGACATAAGTCAAACCTCTTGATTTATTATTTCATTTCATTCATTGATTGATTGAGTGAATAAGTAAAAAATCACGACCAAGTAGATTATTTAATTTGATATTATTGTTAACATTGTTCCCAAAACAAATATACTGTATTAGTTCAATGAATGATTAATCATTATTTGGCTAATTTGGCTACTAAGCAATAAATGAAATATCATTCATATCTTCCACTACTATCAAAATTGAAAAAAAAGATTACCTCCATATTAATAATAATAATAATAATAAATAATGAAATACTCGGAAAACATTTAGTATTTAATATTTGTGCTCAAGTCAAAGGAATGACTCTTAAAAAGACTAGCTCTTGGTTCACGGATTACAATTGACTTAGTTGACCTAGAGATTTAAATAGTCTTCCCCTTTTACCAGATGGAGCATGGAATAATTTTAAAATGCAATTTCTTCTATAAATGTGAATTTAACTTTATCATCTTTTTCTTCTTTTAAAGTCGAAGAGGTTATTCCTTCATCTTCAACCTCCTCTTCCAAAAAACCTCCAGCGGGAAAAACTCTTAAAACCCTAGCTCGGAGGGGAAAAAAAAAATATTAAAATGGATTGGTACTACAACCAATGCTTAGCTGCAGTTAATCATGATATAAAAAAAATATTTACGTGAAAATTACTAATAAGTCTGAAAAATTTAAAGCCATTAGTCTTAAGTGGGTCCTTATGACATTAGGAATGCATCAACGATGGAGCTTTTAAAAAATTATAAGACAAATATTGCTTTAAAAAGGAAAAATTTTAAATTGAAATTCAGATCTAAAATAGATAAATTGCAATCAATTACCATTATATCAAGAGAACGGGGAATAAATAGTGGTCATTATTCATTTCTCAATGGTATTAAAACAAGCGAAAAAATACCCGAAATAAATTATATGACCTTCGTTTCACCATGAATCATCTTGATGAATTCTACTTGTGTATCCACAAACTACTTAAAATTAAGGCTGATAACCAAGGTCCTAATTTTTCGGTGGTCGAAGAGAATAGAGGCACTGGCATCATTTCTCTTGATCCAGGAGTGAGAGAACCTTCATGACTGGCTATAACCCAAGTGGTGAGGTTATGGAAAAGGAGACATTAATATAACGCATCGCTTGTGCTTGCATTATGATAGAATCCAAGGTGAAGGGGATTCTATTGATGGCAAAGCAAATAAGCATAGGAGGTATAGGCTCCGTCGGTGCATACTTCGGATTAATAAGAAAATTCATAATCTTGCGGATGAATGTCATCGAATATTGGCCATGTAGCTTTACTCCCAGAGTTTAAAACATAAAATATGGTTAAAAAAAGCGATTCGAGAAAAATCCACTCTGAAACTGCAAGACAAAATGTTGACCTGGTCACATTACCGTTTTCGCCAATATTTGCTCCATAAATCCCGCGAGTACCCTTGGTTTAAGGTCGTCATCTGCACCGAATAATACACTAGCAAAGCATGCGGATGTTGTGGAGTCATCAATTCAAATTCAAAAATTTTTGATTGTACATCTTGTAAATCCACCATTGGTAGAGGTATAACCGGAGCTCGTAATATCCTTTTGAAGTATATTTCAGAAAAACAATAAGAGTCATTCGCGACGTGAAAACTCACACCCAACGAGACACCTTATTGTAGGCTGTCTATGTAGGACTTGTACTTGGTATAGGTTCAGTATTAAATTTTTTTAAAAGGAATTAGTTGACGTGTGATATAAAAATTCCACTTCTATCACATATCACGAATTAAACAATTTTTGATTTTACAAAGAGAATTACTACATAAAAATTAAAGTGTGCATATTGCTCATACCCATATTTGTATAATTTCTGTAATGTTGGCGTAACACTGTTTGTTATAATAGGAAAATTGATTGAACAACCGTTTTTATTATTATGTTCTTCATAACTGATAATTAAAGAAAAAAATATCCAAGGTAATTAATTATCATGATATATAAGTATGACACAATATGATATAATACATATATGCCTATGCGTATATACTAATTATTCTGCAAATAAAAAATTTTGTTTCTTTTGAATAGAAATAATTAATTGATAAACAATAAATAATAATGACAATGATCCTAAAGAAAAATGAACAACACTTTTACCAAGATGGTGATTGTGAATTAAAAGTGGAAAACATTTTATTCAGAGTTCACAAGAATATATTGGTGCTGTCGTCAGCATTTTTCAGCGGAATGTTTTCAACAGCCCAACCATCAAAAGATGAATTAATCACTGTTGGTGGGGGGAGCTCTGGTAACAGCCTATCAACAATAGTAAGAATAGATTTAAGGGATGATGCATCAGATGATATTGAAAAATTATTATCATTTCTTTACCCAAATACATTTTTTGAAATATCATGGGCGGATGTGGCAAATTTGTTACGCCTAGCAGATAAGTATATTGTTGACACATTGAATTCGGGCTGTGTGTCTTTTTTGAAAAGATCTTATGAGGATGAACCATTAAAGGCATTAAAATTAGCAGAAATATATATGATAGATTCAGTTTATAAAGAATCGTCAAAACTGGTCATAGATAAATTTGAACAATTCTTTTATGATGGACCTGTGCTCAACAATAATCTACAAGGATTATCCAGGAGAACTCAACTAAAGCTCCAGGTTCAAAGACAACAATATATTGAAGGATTAAATAAATTGTTTTGTGATACAGTTGATAGAAGATTTCCACCGTTGGCAACTGAACATCTACGAACCAAATTTGAAGAGTGTGTTAAAGACATTTGCACATTTCCATTCCAATCACCCTCTTACAGCTGGTCTTTGTTACATCAAGTTGATTGTTCAAGACATTTTGAGTGTAGAGAAGAATTGAAAAGATTGAAACCATTTATAAGTGCAAAGATTTCTAATTATTTTGGTTGTGAGTATGAAACCTTGGCTTGGAATAAATCTGTATCCAAAGAATCAGAACTTCATTATCCTTTTATTGAATTACGTGATGATTGATATCTATTTATTTTTTTAAAGAATGTATATACTTAAAATAAAAACACCGCCACCTTTTCTTTCATGGTAGAAAATTTTTATTTATATAAATTTCTCCTAAAGCTACAAGAAACTATTATACCAGGACTTGTCAATTGTCAGAAAATGAAGGTGAATGAATATTTAAAATTCGTATTTGTAATAGTCCTTTTGTTTATTTAAGCAGAAAATCAGAACTGGAAGAGTTGATAAGAAACTAAAGTCATATTCATTTTAGAATTAAACAAGTAATAGTAACATATTCTCCCTGGTTTAACGAGTGCGTGGAATAAAAAAAAGAATAACTATGCAAATCTGGTCGCAATTTGTAATCAGACTTCGCTCTGTGGTTTCTTGTCAGTATGTAGGACGTCGCAAAATGAGCGTTGACAAAATCAGAGTGTGACGACAGCAATGTTAGCTTGACATGCTAAGAGACAAGTATTTACGAGTAGAATTCTAACACTGCCATGATTATAACACCTTTGTTTAAGGTATACTGGGAGCAACTAAAAGCAGCAGCTAAACCAACAACAATTATGGATAGCATTAAAGAGAGTTCTGATTGATCAGATTACCACGAATGGCTTCGATTGTTAGTTAATCGATTTGTTATATTAAGAGTAAATTAATTGGGTATAGTACAATGAGTACAATGATTATAATTATTGCAAATGATCTCTCAACTCATTTTATCAAGGAAACAGACATAAATCGTTTGGGAAATAATTATCAAAAACAGTAAGTGATGTGATGTGATGTAATTAATAACAAAATCTTTTTTTTTATTCAAAGTTGTTTGGTTTTTTTAGATAAATCTTTTGTTTAATCATTCTAGTCATCAATTCGCAAAAAAAAAAGGCTAATATAACGCAATGGAAACCTGTTGTTATGTGAAAGTCTTTTATTAAAAGGATTTTTTAAAGATCATAATGAAAAGCCTTGCCATTCATCAGGACGATGATGTTGTTTATTTAATCTAAATCAATTGTAACAATAGCAGATTCTGACATGAATGAACAATGACGCTTAAATTTAGGTAAAAGCACACTTTGAACAATTAAGTTAAAACATTATTAACAATTTTTGGTTAAATATTATATATTTTATCTCCTGACTCTCTCATCTAATTTTTTTTTTTTTTGACTATATTAACATCATCCTTGAAAGAAAAAATGATGTTAGATGCCATCAAAATCACAAAGTTAGCGATAAATATATTTTTTCTATTCCACTAAATGATGCTATCTCTTCAACCATATCCTGGTGAAACGTATTCTGACAAACCGTCTCCCAGTGAAACGTTTGCCACATGCGCCTTTCTATGATCTAGTCAAGGATAGCAATAGGTATTAATAATTATATCATTCACAGTTATGATGTATGTGCCTGGATTGAGCCAAAAGGAGAACTTAAATATTTATCTATGTAATTAAGAGTAGTAATGATTTTCATTAAGTACAAAAATCTACAAAACGCAAGTTTTTTTACATTTGTTAGATTCTTAAAGTTCTAGGCTTTATTATTGTTAAATACATTACAGTTGAAAGTTCAAAAATATTTCATATACCAATCATAACAAAACATAGAAAAAAAATTTGTAAAAATTGTATCTAATAAAAATATAGCAGTGATAGTACTAACGACAAACTAATTATAATAAATTGATTTAAAATACTTGTTGCAATATTTCTCAATTGAAAAGAGGAAAAAAATCCAATATTAAATTAATAGCTGGAACTTCTTTGTTCAAAATTCAAGGCTATATCTACATAATTATCAATTTGTTCTACTAAAGCTTCAACTTCTTGTTGAGTAGATTTGGTTGGGGCCAATGGTAAGTGTTGTGAAGCCACCTGTCTATCAAACAAGAATGATCCACTAGGAATATCTGATACTTCCTTACTAAATGCTGCCCATAGGACTGTATCAATTCCTTGATCGACAGATCTTAATTGATTTTTAAGATGCTTATAAAAGGTTTCCAATGATGTCCTGATACCAGGAGTATCAACCCATCCTGGATGCATTGACAAAAATTTTATTCCTGTGGTAGATTCTGGATATTGTTGTGACCAATAATTAGTTAGTTCTACTTGTTGTCTCTAAAGAAAAATTTATTATTATTAAAAATGATGATGGAAGATGGTGGTAACTTGAAAGAACAAAATATTCAGCTAATTAATAAATACCTTATTTTGTGCATATGCCATAGTTCCATCAAATTGTTTCATTTTTTTACATTCTAAATCGGTGACATCAAGTTTATTTGCAAGCATTCCACCTGAAGAAACTGTGACCTAATAATTAATTATTAAAGATTATTACTGTTGTTGTTGTGTTATAATATATTTCCAAAGAAAAATAACGATAATAACTACTTACAACCCTTGACCCAGGACCAGATTTTTGTAATAAAGGAACCAAGCTTTTAGTTAAATAATAAGTTCCCAAAGTGTTTATTGAAAAATTTGTTTCAACTCCATATGGTGTAGTTGACCGTTCATTCACCATTACACCTGCATTGTTTATCTTTAAAATAAATAAAATAATGTTATTATTATTGTTCTGAAAATATGCATTATATATTTTTGTAGAGTTGATATTGGTTGAGATAATATATAAAAACAAAAAAAGATTATATAAATACAAAACTTTAATTACCAAAATATGACATTTTCCATCCCCATCACTTTCAAATTCCTTCACGAATTCTTTAACTCTTTTCAAATCGGAAATATCAACTTTATGCAATCTCAATCGATTCTCATCAAAAACAACTTTTGATTTTTGATTTGTCTCATCGTTAACATTATCACCACTGCTACTAGCATCACCGTTAATTTGACCTAATATGTCTTTTCTAGCTTCTTCACCTGTCTTTTCATTTCTACACAACATATGAACTAATGCACCTCGTTTAAACAACTCGGCAGCAATATCTTTTCCTAGGCCACTGTTTGCGCCTGTAACTATTACAACTTTATCACTTAAATCCAAGTCCAATGCATTTTTATTAAATTTTTTCGAATTTCTTTCATAACCACTTTTTGTATATTCACGATATGCAATTATCATCCATACTGTTTTTGTATATAATGATCCTAACATTGATTATTATATTAATTATAATATTAATTAATGAATTATTATTAGAAAATTTAAAATGTTCAAGTGGGAAAAAACTTCTAATTTGTAAATATTAATATTTCTCCTAAAAGTAATATTAATTAATATAGCAGTAATGTTTCACCTTTCTGTCAATATTAACATTAATATTATTAATATTAATATTTACCCTAGTAATATGCACTATAACAAATTAATATAAATTTTTTTATTTATTATTTATGCACATGTTAAAAAGAATTCAAAAAACGATGTCTATAATAATAATAGCAGAAAAATTTATCCCAAATTGCCAGTGATGATCATGATACTTTATTTTACAAGTTCCCATTAACTTTTACTAAAGAAATTCATTAGCGATTTCCAGTTTTCATACTCACCTCACAATATTTTAAGCATTTATCTAGATATTGAAGAAGTAATATACTAATCACAAATCGACCAAGTTTGAATTCTATTAAATCCTTAAATTATTTATTTATTTATATGTTGGATCATTCGAATTGTTATTTATTCGAATTGCTAGTTTTATTTGAACTGCTAGTTTTATTCGAATGAACTTTCAATGTAATTCGAATACTCAAATTCATAACGAATAAAACGAATAATTCGAATAAACCTTATTCGAATAGAAGACCTACCTTATCCTCATTATTATTGTCATCATTATTGATCGAAGGAAC